AGCCCAGGAATGAGAATTACCCCATTGATGCATACCATTTGCAATAGTAGACAACCCAAGGTATTGCAAATGGGGTATGTCCAGTCTTTTTTAGTAGCGACTTGGTCACAAACACTAGCCAAAGTTAGTGTTAATATTTGTTTGTGTGTGAAAAATGCAAAAAACTACTACAGAACGACAATTTTGACCAGTGTTTGTGACAAAGTGGCTACTAAAAAAGACTGGACATGCCCCATTTGCAATACCTTGGGTTGTGTACTATTGCAAATGGTATGCCATCATGGGGGTAATTTTCATTCCTGGGCTACCATACGGTCTCAAAGGCAACGTAACCAATTTGGCGAATTTCAATGTGAAAAAACTGAAACGCAAGCCTTATATTTGACTCTGTAAATTTTGAAAACACATTGAAACCTGTACATGAGGGGTACTGTTATACTCAGGAGACTTTGTTGAACACAAATATTTGTGTGTCAAAACAGTAAAGAGTATCACAGCAATAATATCTTCAGTGTAAGTGCGTTTGTGTGTGAAAAATGCAAAGAATGTCACTTTCACTGATGATATCGTTGTAATACATTTTACTGTTTGAAACACTAATATTTGTGTTCAGCGTAGCTTACCGAGTAAAACAGTACCCCCCATGTATAGTTTTTATGGTGTATTGGAAAGTTATAGGGTTAAATATAGTGCTAGCAAATTATTTCCCTATACTTTTGGCCTGGGTTGTCAGGCAGGTCCCGCAAATAGTAATTATTAAAACGACTTAATTTTGTAAAAATATTACATAAAAATATATGTAGAATTAATATATAGTGGAAAATTTATTCATACTTACCGTAATTTTCTTTTCCTGGCTATTATTCATGGCAGCATATACACATGGGTTAGCTCCTCCCCTTACAGCCAATAGGACAAGTTTAAACAAATTCTTATAAAAGGAGGATCCAGAGAAGAGACCCTCAGTCAGTAACAAGCACTTACAGAAAAATAGACCAAAAAGGGCGGGTTGTATATGCTGCCATGAATAATAGCCAGGAAAAGAAAATTACGGTAAGTATGAATAAATTTTCCACTTTCCTGGCTAATCATGGCAGCATATACACATGGGATTACCCAAGCTCATAGGGAGGGAAACAAGAGACATAATGAATGCAAAATTTATTTTTTTATTAATGCAGATAAATCCACATATACATATTACGAGCGTCGAGAGGAGCGGACTGAATTAAGGACTTCATGACCAAAATGAGAGTCCACTGTAGCTCTAACATCCAGTTTATAATGGCGGATGAAAGTGTTCACTGAAGACCAAGTGCCAGCCTTACAAATCTCATCAGGAGATGTATTTGCCACAGAAGCCCAAGATGCTGCAATAGCATGAGTAGAGTGAGCTCTGACTCCAGTAGGAATCGGCAGGGATAAGTATTTGTAAGAACATGAGATGGCCGAAACCACCCATTGTCTCAATGTAGAGGTACAGGCCGCTTCACCCCGCCTGTGGCCAAAAGGCAATACAAATAGTCTAGGTGATCTGCGAAAGGGGCTGGTCTTCTCCAGGTAGATAGATAATGCTCGCACCACATCCAGAGTGTGCCAAACTTCTTCTTCAGGAGAAGAGGGATTTGGATAGAAGGTTGGTAGAACAATTTCCTGGTTCAAGTGGAACTTAGATATCACTTTAGGTAAAAATTCCGGGACTGGTCTGAAGACTAAACGGTCCTGAAGTATCCTCATATAAGGTGCTTCGCATGATAATGCCTGGAGCTCACATATACGTCGTGCGGAAGTAACTGCCACAAATAAGAGTGCCTTTTGAGTGAGTACCAGCAAAGGAGCCTGGTCAAGTGGTTCAAAGGGAGACCTAGTCATGGCCTTCAAAACCAGAGGAAGGTCCCATGCGGCAGAAATACCTTCAGAGGAGGCCGGATATTAATTGCCGCTTTAAGAAAACGGATGACCAATGGTTCCAGTGCCCATCGGGTACCTGATAAAGCGGATAGAGCTGATAACTGGAGTTTCAGAGTGTTGTAGCTAAGGCCCTTTTCCAGGCCAGCCTGAAGGAAACAGAGCACTGAAGACAATGCCCAGCAAACAAAGGTGTGCCAAATCCTATAATATGTGGAGGAAGTGGATATCTTCCGAGACCTCAGGAGAGTTTGAATGACTGCATCAGGCATGCCAGCTTTCATCAGAGCTTCCCGCTCAATCTCCAAGCCCTCAACTTGAGGGTTAGCAGGTTTGGGTGTAGCAGAGGTCCCTGAGATAGTAGATCTGCCTGGAACGGGAGTACCCTCGGAGGTTCCCGACTCATCCGTCTCGCCATGGGGAACCAGGGTCGCCGGGGCCAGAATGGGAGGATAGCGATAACCTCTACCTTCTCCTTCTGAATCTTCTTCAGAGTTGGGAATATGAGGGGTATAGGAGGGAACACATAGGCCAGAGTGAACTTCCAAGGTTGGGATAGAGCATTCTGTCCCCTGGCTCTGTGATCGACCAGTCTTGAGAAGAAGGCGTCGACCTGGGTATTCTCTGCCGTTGCCATGAGGTCTATCTCTGGGGTTCCCCAAATCAACGACAGTTCCTGAAATACTTTGGGGCTTAGATGCCACTTGCTCCTGTCTATGGTCACGCGGCTCAGGTAGTCTGCCATGGTATTCTGAATTCCCGGAAGGTATACTGCAGAGATACCCTGAACATTTTTCTGGCACCAACTCATGATGGGCCGTAGTTCCTTCATCAACAGATGGCTGCGAGTACCGCCTTGATGGGAAACATAGGCCACAGCCGCCTGGTTGTCGGACTGGACTCGTATCCATCTGTTCTTCAGGATCCTCCTGAAGTGTATGAGAGCTCTGTGTATGGCCCGTAATTCCAAAACATTCCCCGGTAGAACCGACTCCTGTTTGTTCCATCGACCTGGAGTCATCCGGTCCTGACAGTGGGCACCCCAACCATGAGTGCTGGAATCTGTTGTTACTAGAACCCACTCGGGTTCGATCAAAGGAAAACCTCTTTCCAAATTCATCCTTCTTAGCCACCAGACCAGGTCCATTTTGACCACATGAGAGATCCTCAAGGGTTGATTCCAATCCATAACCCTCCGGTTGAACTGGTTCAGGAACGACCTCTGAGGAACTCTGAGATGCCACTGGGCCCACCTGACTAGACCTATAGAAGAGGTCAGATTGCCCAGAAGTCGCGAGTATGTTCTTGCTGTTCTCACACGAAGGTGCAGAATCTTGTAGACAAAGCTTAAAATCCTCTGTATCCTTTCCTGTGAAAGGGAGATAGTGTTCCGGAGTGTGTTGACGTTCGCCCCCAGAAACGTAATCTTCTGGGATGGAATGAGGCTGCTTTTTTGTAGATTCACTAACCAGCCGAACCGATAAAGTTCTGATAGCACCAATTCTCTGTGAAGCACTGCCGTCTGGACGTTTGGTGCTACCAGCAGAAGGTCATCCAGGTAATGGAACAAAGAGACTCCCTGAATCCTCAGCCTTTCTATAAGAACTACCAATACCTTTGAAAAGGTTCTGGGTCCTGTGCTCAGGCCAAATGGAAGTGCTCAGAATTGGTAGTGGTCTTCTCCTATAGCAAATCGGAGAAAACGATGATGTTCCTCGGCTATCGGGATGTGATAATAGGCGTCCCGTAAGTCGATGGATATGAGCCAATCTGCCTTCCGGATAGCTGGGGAGATGGATCTTATAGACTCCATCTTGAAGGATCTGATTAGAAGTCTACTGTTGATCCTCCGCAGGTCCAGGATAGGTCTCCACTTGTCCTTGTCTTTTTGGACTAAGAACAGAGGTGAATAGTGCCCCTGGAATCGTTCCTCTTCTGGCACTGAAATGATAACCCTTTGGGACCTGAGGCTCTGAACATAATCTCCCAGAGCCCTGCTTCTGCCCTTGTCCATGGGCAGACCTGTGGGAATGAAGAAGTTGCCTCTGGGTCTTCCGAGGAATTCCAATCTGTACCCTCTTTGAATTATAGCTTTGACCCAGGCATCTTGTATGTACTGTGCCCAAACCTTCCAGAAGAGAGAAAGTCGAGCACCGACCTCGGACGGATAGTCAGAAGTTCTTGCCTCCACAAAAGGAAGGGTTTCTACCTCGGGAAGAACGTCAAGCATATGATTGACCCCCACGCCAATTATTACTCCTGTTGAACTCTCTACCTGGTCGGTAGCTGCAAGCATCCCGAAAATATTGATCCTCGGAGGTCGCTTATCTGACCAAGAGGAGCCTGGTCTCCTGGTTCTTTTCTCTTGGGGTAGAAAGACCTTACACCCCTCAGCAGCTTTTTTAATGGATTCTTCTAGGGTCTTTCCAAATAGAAGCTCGCCCTCAAAAGGTATGGAACATAAATTGGCCTTGGAAAAGGAATCTGCACCCCAATAACGCAACCATAAAGCTCTCCTAGCTGCTACCGAGAGGGCCATGGTGCGAGAGAAGATCCTGGTGATATCCAGGGCAGCTTGAGTGACAAATTCCGTAGCTATCTGAAGGTCGTAGATAGAATCCCTGAGGTTTGTTCTCTTAATACCTCTTTCCACATCTGTATCCAGGTCTTTTATCCAACTTTTCATTGCTCTGGACACCGCCGTAAGACAAACCGCTGGATGGCATCCGGTACCTCCCGCTGAATATATCTTGGAAAGATCAGAAACCAGCTTCTTATCCATAGGTTCCCGCAAGGAGGCTGCACTATCCAGTGGTAGACTAGTTCTCCTAGCAACCCTAGAGATGGTAGCATCAACTTTTGGAGTTGTCATCCATTTCTTTGTGTCAAGTTTTCTCCTCCAAAGGGTAAAGCCTGGATAGCCTGCCCTGAAATGGAACCTTTTTATCAGGTTTTTCCCATTCTGCGGTAACCACCTCCTTAATGGTTCTGTGAAGAGGGAAGGAAGGCTTCTGCTTCCTAAGATCCGCAAAATGTTTATCAGAAACTTCAGGTTTAGGAAGATCTTCTGGCAATTCAAGGGTCTTTCTTACCTTCAGGATGAGTTTATCCATCGTCTTGTCGTCTAGATATTCCGACAAGACCTCTTCTTCGTTCTCACTAGAATAAACCTGATCGAGAACCTGAAACTCTTCAGCTGAATCCTGGTATTCTGAGACAGATGATTCTGAGGATACCAGTCTCTGTCTTGGTCTTTTCACAGACCGATTACTTGCCTCCATGGCCTCTGAGATGCCATGAGCAACCTCCTGTCGGATCCAAGTCAGGATATCTGGTGACTGAGTGGGTGTTACGGCTGCTGGAGTGGCCACCTTCTTCAAGCAGTTTAAGCACAGCTGTTTGCCTTCCAATGCCTTCCCATCACATCCTGCACAGGGATCTGACTTCTGTCTCCTCTTTCGTGGGGGAGATGATACAGTCTGTTCTCCATTACTAAAAGTAGTATAAGTAACTGTTAGTAGATGGAGCGTAAAAACATCATTAATGTTATATATATAAAATATATATGGAGTCCTACTTACCTGGATTCTGCTGAACAGGGTAAAGGATTCCTACTAGTAGAGCTCATAATGGGCTAACTATAATAAAGAATTTCAAATAATTCTCTTAGAATACACAAAACAAATTATCCTAATAAAGGGATAAATGTATTTGAGAAATACACAAACCTGTGGCAAAGAATAGAAGTGATTCCAGAGTCCTAGCTTCTCTTTTAGACAATCCAATACAAATTGCAAAATAGCTGAATACACAACAACCTCTTCGAGTTCCAGCTTCTTTTAAATAGTACGAGCCATTCACTAACCTGTTTCTGGCGTTTTCTGCAAATTACCAGTGATTTTCGGATTTTGCTCATAGTAAAGATGGCCGCCGCGACCTCTCGACCTTACCCAGACTGCATTCTGGTGCCAAAACGAACCGAGCGCATTGCGCATGTGCGGGCGTCCTATCCGAGCACCCGACCTGGGAGAACCGAGGACGGAAAGCCAGGGGCCCTAATTGCAGTCAGGAAGACTCCCAAGGGTCTCAGGCAGCCCAGGATTGCCCTGGTAAGAATGAAACTGGGTAAAAAAGGGGGAATCACCTAGGAAGAGGATCATTAAGTCATAAATTGTGCACTTTACAGTACACTGCAAAAAAAAAAAATGGTGAAAGTAGTAGAGTATTAAAATTGAGGGAGCTTTAAAAAAAAAAAAAAAGCCTGAGGGTCTCTTCTCTGGATCCTCCTTTTATAAGAATTTGTTTAAACCTGTCCTATTGGCTGTAAGGGGAGGAGCTAACCCATGTGTATATGCTGCCATGATTTTTAGTTATATATAGGGGTATATATATATATATATATATATATATATTGTTTAGTTCTTCACGTATTTTGATATCAATAAATATATATATTTATATATATTAATATCACGATACAGTTAGAACAAAATAACACATATATCTATTTTTTTATTATTTTTAATTATTTTTTTATTTTTATTTTTTTACGTATTTACATTTTTATATTATATATAAATATATATATATATAATTATAATAATATATATATATTTAATCAATATCATTCTACGTGTATTTTTATATTAATATATATATATTAATATTAAAATACACGTAGACAGTGTATGTGTGAATGTGTACATATATATATATATATATATATATATATATATACTTAGATTAAATATTATTTAATTTTACAATGTTTTAATCTTTATTTATTCATTTTACAGCCAGCAGGGGGACTTACTGTCATTCCTGCTGGCAATTCTGTGGAAAGCTATGCCATCCATGACTGTGAGGTCCTCGCAAGGACCTTGTGATCACATGGCCCAGGGGGGCTAAAACGGCAGCAGACGGACTCCCTGGAATGGCAGGTGAGTTCCCCCACTGCGACTGTCGGCGTGGGATCGCCGGTGACCGGGTAAGTACATAGGATGGCTGGGGCTTTCTAAGCCACCCGCTGGCGTTTAGGACGGGGTCCCCAAGGACGGCATAAAACGCCCACTGTCCTTAAGGAGTTAAACCAGAACTCTTGTTCCAGGCTGGCTGAGGACTCTGATTTTTCTGTATGTTCAGTTTTTCAAACTTAAATGCTATACATACAGATTTCAACCATTATGAACACTTCAAAATACTGACGTGTTCATGATGTTTGGAGTAACCATTTAATAAGTTTGTCTTAAAAATGCAACACATAATTTATTAGTTCAAATACAAAATATCTTTTTATTTTTTTTTAAATGTAAGTATTTTTTGAGGAGTTAATAATGCCATATTAGGCATTAGTCACTAGGAAACTCCATGTCAAATTCCATAAAAACCTTTTAAAATAGATACAAATTTACTATAAATCCAGCACCAGACCATGTTCTCTTTAATCACTTGCATGCCTCTTCAGTCATTACTATCGGTGGTCCATGGCCCAATCAAATATGAGGAGGGAGTGCTGCATGGAGGCAATTAACATACAAGGATGACTACATGGAGGGAATTTGACACAGAAGGAGAGCTCATTGAACAAATGCAAGTGAAGGTGAACAAAGGGAGTGAGGCATGGTTGGAGGCCTAAATAAACAATGGAATGTGAAGTGGTATTGAGTGGTATTGAGGGAGGGCATGGAGGGAGGGCTTAGTTTAACGTAAGAAGGTCATTTATGGCTTTCGCAGCAGGCAGAGCAAGCTGATGACAGATGTAATTTTTACACAAAATTGACATTCGGAAGTCTAGAACAGATTTCTAGTCTGCCTAAGTCATGTGTGCCAGAGGTTCAACAAGCTCCCAGGACAAAACAGCAGGTTACTTTGTATGTGCTGCATTTTAAAAAGAAACCGTGCATGTACAGCTGTATTGTCATGGTACCTTACAGTACAGCGTTCTGTATAACCCTCGTAAATTTAGAATGGTGCTATGATGTATGTAGCTATTTACATTTTTATGAAAGTATGCAGCTCGGCAATGCTTATTTCTAACATTGTGCACCGTTTATATATTTTCAACGGAGAGCTAAGGAGGGCACATGGGGTTCAAAGAGCTCAGGTGCCCTTAATCACAACTAAATTGGGATTGTAACACCCGTAGCTTTAATGTGAAAATACAATGCGCTTGGAGTAATCCACTGTTAGGGTGAAAGCACTGTGTTCATTTTATAGATGGACACATGGACAGTAAGAAGCAGTACCATTGCTCTCGCTCACTAGCAGATGCTGAGCAGTCTTTATACAAGTTACTTTTCATTTCTTGTTGTTCCTCTCTGTCCAGGCTGTCAGTCTTCTTCCAGGAGCCTAGAACTCACAAACAAAGAGGGTTTTTTAGGGTCCAAGCCCTTTGGCGGATCTGGACCACAACACTGTCTCTGAACAAGTTTGGATTAGGCAACATAGTCTCTTTACTGTTTCTTATATAACTCACTGTAACATATTCCTCCTCACCTTGTGGTATTTGTGCTCAGCGGCCGTGCGACTGCATAACTGACTCTTGCAACATGTTGATGGATGCCGGCCGCTGTGGATCCACACCCAATTATAGCTCCACATCAGCTCACGTTGATGACGACTTCGGCATGTGTGTCATCACGCGGGAGACGCGCGCACATTCTGGGGTCAACGGCCGATTTTCGTATTTAAACGTGATTCTACTTTTCCTCATTAGTGGTTGTCTGAGAGTGTGTTCCTGAGCGTTTATTTCTAGTTATTGATTTTGGCTTCGTTTGACTTCCGTGTATTCTAGGATCCCTGACTTCTGGCTTTCCCTTATCGTTGTCTCATTCTGTATCACCCGACCTCGGCAAGTATCCTCACTATTCTTTGGTGCGTTAAGTCTGGCCATTCTGAGGCCCGGTAATACATTACCTTTTAGTCCTAGATGTGACACAATTCTACGTGATGGATCATTTAGGATTCCTGACACTCACAAACCAATCAGGAGCAGAGCATGGAGAGATATCTATAAAGCTTATGTGACAAGGTGAATGGGGTGGTCTGTGAGGGAGATTATATTTCATCTGCATTGTTCAGAGAGGCATATGATCTTTAACCCCAGGGGGAATGTATGTATGTATGTATGTAACTTAAATGCATATTTAGTTATGGGCCCCTGGGGTGGAGCATTTGGAGAGAAGGGTGGGCCAGTGCTCCACTCCACTATTTATTGTTTTCTCTTGGGAGACTAGGCCCAGACCAGGATTTGAACTGTCTCCAACCCACTGCAGCAGTGGGAATAAACCCCTCCCTGCTAGGCAGGTAGATGAGAATGTTTATTTCTCTCCTGAAGGGCTGGAAGCATCAGGCTGTCTAAAACACTGGAATGCTGAGAGCTGACAAAGAGACTAGGTTGGTGAAACCACTTCTTGTTTTGTTATAGATTAAACCCTTGAGAGAGAGGGTACTTGATGTTAGTTAGTGCTCAGACCGAGCTAGGTTTTTGTTTATAGGGTTTTGTTACATTTTTGTTTTCATGTGCTGCTGTCTTTGTGGAGAAGCTCAACAATAAAGTGCCTGGACTTAAGTTACCTTTAAAGACTCTGCATGTTTCTACCCAAAACGACCGTGCTAACTGCAGACAAGGATCACACTTATCTCAGTCTGATTTGCTCCAGATTGGCAGAGTGTTCAACTCTAGGGAAAGATTAACAATATTTTTTAATTTTCTAAACTACATTGTGTGTAGATGCGTGTGTGCAATATACATTGACTTTCAATATTTGGTAGGTGAGTGGCTAATTGAGTCACACTCACCTTAGCACCAAAAAAAAAATACCTCCTAATCCTTGGCTCACACCTGCACATTTCTTCTGTAATTATAGAAAACTGCATTCCCAAACAAAGGTGCAGTATACCATTATATATTAGTGAGGAGGATATTTTTTGTAATAATGAATAATATTCTGGAGTCTGGTATCCAGGAGAGCGGCAGGCATGAAGTAGTGATCCATGAAAGTAGTCAAGAGCAAGGGTCAGATTCAGGGGGAAGGAGACAAGTAGCAAGGACAATGCAAGAGAGGAGTAATAGACACAAACTGAGGCTGCAATGCAACAAGGTTACACATGGCAAGGCAGGCCAGATCAACTCAATAATCAAGCAATGAGCCAAGCCGGGGCAATGGTTGAATAGGCAATAAGTAATTACAAGAACCTGAATTGATTAGACATTTAATGACGTCACTGAGCAAGAAATATAGGTCTGTGTTAACCCTTCCCTGGACATTCTAACAGTGACCAAAAAGACAAAAACATACAGCATACTATGCTCAGACACAACATTGAAACCACTGACAGGTGAAGTGTATAGCATTGATTATATTGTTACAATGGTGTCTGTCAAGGAGTAAGATAGATTAGGCAGCAAGTGAACAATCAGTTCTTGGATTTCATGTGTTGGAAGTAAGTATAGTGTGAAAGCAAAAAAGATCTAAGTGACTTTGACAAGGATCAAATAGTGATTGCTAG